ACTATTTAGTATGATAAAAAAAAATTAAATACTCAAAAAACCATTTAGAACAGAAAGCATTCAATGTAGACAATCTGAGCCACAACCAGGTAAGTGGTACATTTGTATTGAGTATAATGAACCTAATAAAATTACAGATGGAATTGAGTGGGTAGCAACTACAGGTATACTAGTACTATGTTACCCAATAAGAAAAATCCCATATTAATAGCTGAATATTTTAGTTGTGAAAATATTTACAAAAGTGTGTTTAAATAAATAAAAATAATAAATATAAAGCTCAATTGGTGAATTATACGAATAAACCACTAAAACTGGACTCGCCAAACGGTATAAAATTGAAAAGTGTAAATCGATGTGATCACGCGTTTCCAAAAAAAACAAAACTATCAAAGGCATATTATGAAAAGACGTTTTGAGAAAAGGAATAAAAAAGAAAGCATAGGTAACTCAAAATAGTGAAAATTTGTAAATTTAAAAAAAATAGTCTTAGTATTTACATAAATAAAATAAAATTACTTACCTATATGTTCTATATGTTCATAAACAGTTTTGTAGAGAATAATAAGATAAAACACGGAAAATTAATATTAATTGTATTTATTTCATTTATCATTTATTAGATTTTAGTTTTACTATAAGTATTATATTTAAATAAATAATATTTTAATAAATACAAATCAAGCTATGTTGTAAATTGTAATACAGTTTCTACCATCTATATATTCGGATATAAATTTAAGTAAGCAGTATCTTAAATTATAATGGGTAGTTCATAGCAGTGCTCGAATTGGGAAAAATTAAGTAGAGGAGCTCAATCCAACGATTTAAAAACTGCGTTCCATGAGCTCAATTACTCAACACAAGCCAGTGGGGGGCTTTGCCCCCACACGGCACACATCCTACACTCCTACAGCCCTACCTTACATACATTTTGAATACCACTATTCAGGGACACATTTTGAATTCCAAATAAGTATAATATCTTTTGATAGCAAAATCTACATCTTACATTGTTACAGTAGAAAAAATAATAATTATAATCTACCTGTTATTTATTCAATATACTGTATAGATAACGAAATTGAAAATTATTGTTTTTGATTCAAAAGAGACCACATATTTTGATAAGTATAAAAAAATTTAAAAATTCAAAAATACCGATAAATGATAACCATAACCGAAACTGATAATATTTCATTCGGAACACGATTTAAGATATTACTATCACACACCAGTATGGCAGTATATATACTATATCTATCAAATATTATAAATAATAAATTATTAAGTTTGGTTTTAAAAAAAAAAACCTAATCTCTACAAACGAAAAAAATTAGATTACAAACCAATACAAACCGGCTACAAACATATTGTAAAAAAAAAATCACAATTCCAAATTGGGGGAGGGGGGGCTGAGGAAAAGGACCTCTTAAAAATAACAAACCCTGGTCCAATCATTTTTATGAAAGATACTGTTGTTAACTGTTGGCTATATAAGAAATGTACACCTACTTAAATACCGTAAATGACTGGCTAATGTTTATGCTTATAGGTAAAAATGGCCGGGTAAATGTAGACGTCTAGTATTTAGTCATTTATTTATTACAGCGTGTGTACTATACTCTGTACCAAATAAGAGCGCACCGAGTTGGCGCATCCAAATGAATCGCGGAGTGACGTCCGGATCCCCTGGCTGGGTCTATTCGCTCTGTCATTGGTCGCCCCCTATACGCCGCTGCCACACGGTCGGTAGAGCTCTCTGTCATACGCGAGTTTCGACCGGTTAACGCCCTGTGAGCTCTTATTTGATACAGAGTATAGGTTCATCATATGAAAATAGGATGACAATACTACAATAGGTATGGCGTACGCATAATGTATATTTTTTAATTAAATTTAGAAATACCTCTTTGTTATGTTTCTCATTCAATAGCTTCAAAGAATTAACAAATTTTGATCGATGACCTATAATTGGTATTAACTCAGCAACCATATTTTCAGTTAAAGTGAGAAAAACTGTAAAATCAATTTCTGCTTCTAAAAACAATTAAATAGGTAGTTGAAAAGATAATTAATTTGTGATTAAACTAACAAATATTTCACCTAAACTAATATTACTTTTGTTTAGCAGGTGGGTTACTCATTAATTTAATTATTCATGTACTACTTATTTGAATATACTTATACAGTTATTACATTTACAAATATAGTTATTAAACTTTATTTTAATGAACTAAAATATTATAGAACTTTTTTTTTCCATCAATATAATATAATTGAAAATTGAAAATTGAATACAAGATTCCTAATAAGTATTTTCTAGTGTAATTCGTCACCGTGAAATCACACCATGATGTGCATGCTATGTGCTAGCACAGGTCGTTGGCAATTTTTCTCCAAAAATGGTTATATGGTAATCCCCTTATCGTTTGAAAATACTATTGGGGACTTACAAAAAAAAACAGAAAAAAAATACGTAACTATTTCATTTAAAGTTCAAACCACCACTTAACCGCTCGGAACTATTAGGAATTCTCACTTTCCCGCCCGCTGGACGGAAAAAGAACGCTTTCCGACGCTTTAACCGCTACCAAAGACCAAACTTTATGTGCAGGCGTGACAAAAAAATATTTTACCGTCGGTGATAAAAATTCCGATGAAACGCGCAAGTAAAAAGCAATGATCTATTGGCAGTTGTGTCGATCAAACGACAATGGTAACAGAATCGTACACGTATACGATATTATCTAAGAAAAAAAAACTTACATAATATTATTAGGTATAACAATCTGTGAGTGTGCGTTGTGGTGTATGTACTCACTGTACAGATTTCAATCAGACCTTTCGTGCGGTCAGAGTTACTAGCCGTTTTGTGATAAACTGGTCCGATTCCGATGCATAATATAGGTAATAAAATGTACCGTTGTCCGGATAGGGCGTGAGCGTTGCTTTCAACGGCGTCCCATGACGTGATAAATGATGATCCTGTAAACGAATACGACGCAATATAATATTATTGTCATCGTTTGCAGCGGAAACGCTTTATGAGTTTATGACCATTGGATGGTGCGTGATCGAAATTCGGTATCAAGTGGAGGAATTACTGTTTTTTATTTGTTTTCGTAGTATATGTAGTCATACATATACTACTGAGTCATACACTCAGAGTTGCATAATATTATAATATATTTGCGTAGGCACGTATATAAGTTTTTGCTTTTGTGTGTGTGCAAAATATGTTGATTAACATTTAACACGTTGGGTAATTCGTATTACGTAAAGCCCGTTGCGAAATAATAGCTATATTATAACATCATGCTACGGCCAATTAGGTAATAGAAGTGCTCAAACAGGGATTTTGAGATTTACGATGGAAATATTTGTTTATAAATGGTTTCTTTATTGGTGATAAAAGAAATAATTAATAGAAATAGTATTTATTTATTATTGGTTGCTATTGCAGGTCAATTGGGCAGATCAGGTACAAGCATGCATCAAAATGACTTTTCGCGTTTGACGAAACGCGCCATAATGTTAATTGTGAAATATAAGTCTTAAATAACCGGCTTTCCCTGGTTAACTGTATAATAGTCGGAATATACTATAGATAATAGATATCTTAATATCTATAATATCAAAATAATAAATACAAAGTTTTCGAACAAAAATTCATCCGAACATATGCTTTTTCGAACACTTTTCATTCGAACACATTTTATTCGAACATATCATTTTCGAAAACATAACCCCTCATCGACTGAGTTGCACTTACTGAAGTGAGTTACACCAAAAAAGAGTTGAACAATCACAATATTTTTGTCATTTTTTACGTGCTAAAAAGGGTTAAATTTGGTTTTTTTATTCATCGGATTTTAGTTCATTCAGGTTAGGTGAGGATTATGTCTTAATTGATTATATTAATCCAACGTATTATATCAAAATAAACTTGGTATACCTACCATTGATACATTAGAGTTAGATAATACACTTACGTACAAATAGCACTGTGTCCGCGATCTACCGCAGGTAGATTGCTTACCTGGTAATAATATACTGCTGCGAATCACAATTTTTATTCCAGGCAACGGAAAAGTTAAGATAAATTTTGAACACCATACACCGAATATTAAATAATGAATTGAACAAAGTTGGGTCATATATAAAGATTAGAGTTGGTACATTTAAAAGGGAAACGAAATGCACAGGATCAGCTAGTATCATATATATTTAAAAATGTATATTTAATTTTAAATGCAGATACTATACACCAGAAGTCCCGTATCACCCTTATTATTACCGTGGAAAATCAATATATTTAAATGCAGTTTTTTTTTACAGTCATAAGTTTGGAAATTCTGATTGAATAGCATAAATTTCTGTTTTTTTTTTTAAATTATCAAATTATCAAAAATTTTTTTTAAGCAAATAACTTTTTTAAATTTCTGAGATAGCCAATTTGTTGATCGTGTTTTTTAAAACCGTTCAAAAAAAAAATATTTAAATTTAATGAAATTCGCCCAAGTTGGAACTAATTATTATTTTTAATTTTAGCCGAAAAATCAGCGTGATTGTAATAATTAACATGCGAATCGATTTTGCTAATAGCGTATGCGTAAGTAGCACAACTATTATTCTTAGGAATTCAAAATAATAATAACCTTTAACTTGGCAATTTTCATTACATTTTAATATTTTTTTTTTGAACTGTTTTAAAGAATACGATCAACCAAATAGCTATCTTGGAAATTTAAAAAACTTATTTGCCTAAAAAAATTTTTTGATAATTTTTGAATTTTTGTAAATAAAATCGAATATTATGCTATTCAATCAGAATTTCCATACTCATTACTGTAAAAAAACTGCATTTAAATATATTGATTTTCCATGGAGATATTAAGGGTTATACGGGACTACTGGGACATACTGTTTATAAAAAAGTATTTAAAATGTTATGTCCAAGCTTTTTTTTTTTTTTTTTGAGAAGAATTGTTTTTTCATCAAACGTTGTCTGATTCAGCGATGATTTTGTCGTAGTAGACAGAGACATCGTGTTCGAAATTACAATCGAGTTCAAAGCATCTAAATAAAAATATATATTTAAATAACATATTGTAAGCTAGTTTAATAAATAAATATAATCGGTTCGTACTTCATTGATACACTTTCTCTCTTGTTCAGACCGTACATGTATCTTGTGGAAGTGAATCATGGCCATCACATATTACCTCATTTGGATACAGACTTAAGTAGCGCTCTCGCGAAAATTGACCATCGTGACCAATTATCGGACGCAACGCTTCTTTCATCCAGTTGCAGATCAACTCATTGAGCGACTGGTACAACAACTCATCAAATTTAGTGATCTCGAACTCGACATCGAATTTATCACTGTCCCGAATGTACAACCACCGGAAACATGAAACCATTTTAGATTGCATACTTTCTGACAACGGTAATTTCACGTAAGACATCGACCCAATTTTAGGCGGTTGACGGTTATCCAGAAACTTTTGGACCTCTGTATGCTTTAAGACTCTGGTTGAGATGTCGACGTTGTGTAAGATGGCGTATCGCGATAGCAAAAAAATGTGATGGTAATAAAAATTATCAATTGCGGTGCATAACACACTGTCGATGTCATCGAGTGATTTGAAAAATTCTGGTAAAATGCTGATCACATCACTTTTATTTACAATGGTTTGACGTTCTTCGGAAACGGTAGTAGAGGCGTACCATAGACTAACGTCGGACAACGGATTCCTCCGAATCGCCCTCACTTGTGCAGCCTTGCTCATGATAAATTCAAAATTTTGATCTAGTTTTTTAAACATTGCTGAAAAGGTACGTGCTGTCAAGATATAGTTCACTTTCATTTCGGTAAAAAAAGCGCACCACAGATTCCGGTCGTTGTTCTCGATATACGGCCAAACTTTCGATATGTTATTTTTAAGAAATAATAGACAATTCTTCGGTATGATGTCCTTATCCAGATCAAACTTTGCTAATTCTTTAAAATTCTTTAAAAATAACCCAACAACCTCTTCCCGAGTCCTTATCCTTATGTATCGAATACATAATCTCTGGAACAAATACTGGAGTAGGCGTTTTAAATCACGTCTGGATTTGCTTTCGTTGTAATACATTAGATCGATGGTGGACCGGCTCCAATAGTTGAAGACTAACGCTTCGATTTCGCCTTCTATGAAATTAAATTTAACAGCCGTCTCGGTCTCAACCCGACGTGTAGATTCGGAATCAAAATAATTATTTTTTAAGTAAACGGACGATAGAAACAACTTAAGATCTAACCAATACTTCTCCGGTATAAGACCATTCCGTAAGGGGTAACGCAAAACATCCAAGACGTTATTACTGACTGAGTGCACTGGATCTAAATCCAGGTCTGCGTTTTTGGTGTACTTTCTAAGTCGTCTACCAATGGAGGACGGTAAAAATGAAAATTTGCATTTGTGTTCTTTTTCGAATTCATGAAGTGCCTTGTACAAATTAACCATTCCGGTTGGTGCTGTCCACTTTTTATTGATTGTACCGTATGAATGTTTATTTAGCTTCTGATCCATACAAAATTTTGAATGAATCGGAATCTTTTGTATAGTCGTTTTATAACTTTTCTGTAAACGTTCTCTAAACAGAACATCGTTCGAATCACTGCTTGAAGCTGACTTCGCGGCATCAGCAGTCCATTCCAAAATATCCAGTTCAATCGTGGTCTCCAATACTATATTTTCTGTCATGAATCTGCAATAATATGGTTTCCATTGACCAAGTTTTAAAGTTTCACTTAGCGATGCCTGGGTGGTGTTTGACAGTTGGTTATTGTCGTCGTCTTCTTCATCGTCGTCGTCATCTTCATCGTCGTCGTCATCTTCATCGTCGTCGTCATCTTCATCGTCGTAGTCATCTTCATCGTCGTAGTCATCTTCATCGTCGTAGTCATCTTTATCGTCGTCGTCATCTTCATCGTCGTCGTCATCTTTATCATCGTCGTCATCTTCATCGTCGTCCGTTCTTCTATAGCTTGTTGACTAAAAACAAAACAAAACAGGTGGGTATAAAGAATCATTGTATACGAAAAACAATTCTAAAAGAAAAGTCTGTCAACCTATATTATAATTTATAACTAAGTATATTTTATGAAATGATCATTGCTATTAAAGTAATTTATTTTACTATTATAAATTATGTAATAATACAGTAGCAAGTAGGTTTAATTAATTTTAATATGACAAAAAATTTGAATTTAAAAATGTCATTGTGTCTACAAAATACCATAATATACTTTAAAAGAACAAAAAAAGATTTAAAGAGAATATGGTTATCTGTCGATATTATAACTAAGTATATGTTATGACTTATGATATTATAGCTATTTAAGTAATTTATTGTAAGTAATACAGTATCCAGTAAGTTGGTTGATTTAATTTTTGCCTAAAACTTGCATTTAAAAATGTATTTGTGTGTAAAAATATAATATTATAGGTAGATACTTTAAAAGTTTCAAGTACCCACGAATAACATTTATAAATTACAACAAAATAATTAAAGTTGTTATTCTTTGTTAAAATATATTTAAATAAAACTGTGTTTGTATATTTTATAAATTTGTTGGTTACAGCATAAGCTACATAGAATAAATCTTGTTTACTTTTTGATCATAAACTATAAAATTAAATATTTTATAAATTTGTAACTTCAAAATATTTTGCATATTTTCAAGATTTTCATGAATTGTATCAAAATTTAAACTTTTAATTTTTGTAAAAATTGTAAAATCATGTATATAAATAACTCAAAAAGAGTCAACATTATTTTAAATTGTATCATGTAGGTATAAAAAATGATAAAATAAAGATTTGGTGAAAATTCAAATACGAGTACTTATGTCTTATATGTATACGGTTATTCGTTTATGGACGAATTTTATCGAAATTCTAAAATCAGTTGCCCATAAAAAATTCCTGTGGATTTGCTCTCAACTTCTGTAATACATTTTCAATTATTTTGAATAATTTTTTATCGACAGTAGTTTATAAAAAAAAATACAAATTTAAATTATGGAAAGTATGGCTATAAAATATATTTTGATCAAATAGAGTTCTAATTAAAAGTGTAATGGCGAGTAGAAAATGATAATTGCTAATAAGTGATAAGCGTGCGCAGAACACGGACAAATTGTATGTAATAATATTTTACATAAAAAATATTATTTATTCGAAACGTATACGGAAAAAATTAATAATCTGTAGAAACCTAAACGTATTTCTAAACACAGCTACAGCTGCATGAGTGGGTCAATTAAAGTTCCATAACGAAAATTCACTTACGGGTTTTTTTTCATTCACGGCTACATCGTTCTTACCACCCATATCCATCGAACTCTGTAATATGTTGTCGGCTTCCGTAGAACCAACTACGCGGGTGGTTTCGGCGGGATTATTATTGCAAGATTCAATTGGAATATTTATGGACTCCTGTACAGGTGTACATGATGATGGTGGTCGAATTCCATCAATCTTCATTTCATTTAACATAAGTGATTGCCTCAAGGGTTCAATATTTTTCTGAAAACAAATATTAAAATAATTTGAATTATTAATGTCAACATTTATGCATAGAAAAAATAATATTAAAGGATCACACATCACAAAAAAATATTTTCTTAAAATTATTATTAAAAATTAAACTATTGTGGTTAGAACTTAGAACAGTTAAATAATAGGTTACAACCATTAAATAAGATTTGGTAAAAATTCAATGTAAAAAAACTAACCACCTAATGTGAATAGACGGCCCGCGGCCTATATAAATAGTATTACTAAGAATATATTTTCATAATATTATTGTCATTAAAGTAATAATGTGAAGTGGATTTTAAATATGTTTCGATGTTTGGTACAAAATATAAAACAAATAATAATACTCGTAACACAATATTAGTTATAGAAAGAATTGCATATATTTAATAGGTATTTAATGTAGTGCCAAAAAGCCAAACGTTTGCATAACTCCGACAAAGTGAAAAAATAAAAACAAAGATAATAATTAAACCGTACATATTAAATACATAAAAGGGAAACCAATGACTTTTCTGGACGGTTACCAGGAATGTAATATCATAGTAAAAAGATGGACAAGTGGGTACCACGATGCTGCAAAATAGTTGTCAAGAATCTCGTTGTATGGATGTATTATATTTGAATTAAATGATAAATCAGTGAATAAGAAAATCGATTCTGAGCGGAGACGTTGTGTCAGCCTAGCATATGTCTTGTAAAAATAATTCAATTTAATAGTTAAAAAATGTATGAAAATCGAAAATATCTCATGGCTATAAATAGCCTGACTTTCCGGTAAACTTTTTCTTTTTCATGAAAGTAGAAATCCTTGTTGTGAACCTTGTATTAATAAGGTTATCTATGAAAAAAATAACTTTCATGAATTTCTAACCAAAATTTTTTTATAAAATTTGAAAAAATATTGGGTATTTAAAATGGCGGTGTGTTGTGATTGGGTCAGACTCGATATATCACTGTCTATCTTATGTGTCATAGTATCTCACATTACACAATGATTTACTAATCTAATTGTATTTTAGATTCTAAACGGAGCGATGAATGTATTGAATATTGATCTTACAGGCTATTACTGTCACCATAACCACGACCAGCACTTGACTATACGAACATGTTACAAGTGTACAATTTACTGTACAAAAGAGAACGCCGCAAGAAATCGTCAGATGGTTTGCAATATGGGTTAGCAACATTGGCGTAAATGGGGGGGAGCATGAGGAGGCTCAGCCCCCATCCAAAATTTATTGCAAAAGTATATTAAATTTGGGCTTTATTTATTTTAATTATGTATTTATGTGTTTAGAGAAGATTTTAAATAATGGAAAAAACTAAACATTTAGGACAAATTCTGAAACCATGTACATATTAGATCCATAAAAACAAATCACATACCTAGGTATTAGTGGAGCTATTTATCTAATTTATCTATGACTTATATCATAGTACATTTTTTAGATGGGGGGGTCTAACGTAAAGTACTGCAGGGGATACCGCTGTGGCTCCAGAATTTGCGTTAAAACATAAATATAAATAATTAAATATTGCATTATATAGGTGTTTGGACCGCATCTGATTGTTAAATTTAAAAAAGAGGAGATAATGGTATCCCCTTGATGTACAATGGCATTGAATTTTTTAAACACTTCGACACCACTGTTTGGTACAATAAAAGTTCAAAAATATACTTTAAAGGTAAATAAATTATTGTGTGTTTTACATGTAGAGATAGGCAATTATGGAAAGCCCGACCCAATGGCATAACGAGTCTTGATTCAACCACTCATAACTCATTGAATAATATAAGAAGTCTAATAATCGAATAGTGTAAGTTAAACCTATGGCAAAACCAATTTTCCTATACTCTGTTCTAAATGAGATCGTATCCCGGGACGCCGTCTCCAATACAACGACGCATTGGGTGCTGCCACGCACATGCGCACAACTTGGCCGCTTGGGGTACGATCTTATTTATAACAGAGTATAGAATTTAACATTCTTACAAATTAAAAAAGAATTATTTCTGTGCTCTTTTAAAGTTAATTATGTATAATAATAAATGATACCTTGAGGAAACCAATAAGGCACGGTTGTGGTGAAGCATTTAGAAGTTTCTCTAGTCGATCACAAAACTGTTCTGGTTCCACCTTGGCATCAACCAGTTCTTGTATAAAGGTTCGCACACTTCTTTCTACAGGTTTAGGTTCTTTACTCGACAATTCAAGTAAAGTGGCTAAAAATTTGCGGCATTTTTCTTTAGTATTGTTTTGTTGAATTTTTTGATGCGCCTGAAAAATAAATAAACTATAAATATCTCTAGTAACTTAAATTAGATAAATTGTTTAACAATACCTGTTGAGGTTGAGCTATCGTTTGGGTTGGTGTTGTAGTTGGTGTACCAGCAATGGAAACATTGTTCTGAAATAGTAATTCTTCAATCAATTTAAACATGCACATAGATCTACACTGTTTAATTAAGACTTGTTTCAAAACATTTACAGCTATCTATTTAAAAAGTAAGTTAGGATGGGAAGTTTATTATTTTATCAGGTAACTATTATTTAAATAAATTAATAGAGTAAAAATATATTAATTATGAATAATAATATAAATTATTTTGGCTAACTAAAACTACAATATAAATAATGATTAGGGATTGGATTCCAAAGCATTTGTATCTGTTTTTGGATTGCCTGATGAGATACTTTTCAAGCTACTAATGTGTTTTAGTTGCATGCTATTTCAATAATCGATTTTTTTTAAAGAAATTCAGAGCAGACCCAAAATTTAAAAATAAGTAAAAATAGAATAAATATAATAAAATCAAAAAAACAGTTTTAAAATTAAAGTTTTATCTTTTTACTATCACATGTCCTATGTCCTAATCTGGTTTTAAAATTACATGAATCATATTTTTATTAGTGACGAAAGTGTCAAGTGACCACCATTACATATTTTTTTTTTCTTTATTATTATATACACTATCTGTACCTCATGGGCACAATAAGAGCAATAAGAGTATATAAGAGTATTAGCTGAGATAAAAATAATACATGAAAAGGCTTGATAAAAGCAGCCACTCAGAGATGACACTTACAAATTGAGGTTATACATTATTTATATATATATATGAATTTATTTATTTATTTGTTTTTTATATTATAATAAAGTTAGCATATCTCTACACCAGTTGCGTTTTAAACGCCTTGGAGGAAGTAATTAGCCTTCTATAAAATTTTCAAGCTTTATTAACCAACAAATAATATTTTATTGATATTTTTAGAAAAAAAACTTTAAAAAAAATGGAAAATGAAAATGTCCCTAAACAGTTCAAAATAAATCAAAATATTTTGAAAATGTTATCGTGTATAGAAAATGCAAATATAAACAACCAGTGAAAATGTCATTTAACTACGGTCATTTGTTTTAAAGTTACACCAAAAACCAAATTCGATTTTGCATAAAAATTCCCGTTTTCCTTAATTTTTCTTTTGTTTTTCACGGCGCTTTTGAAAATTACTGATAATTTTAAATTTTGACCTCCCTAATGCACCAATGATATTCACTTTCCAATCAAACAAGATATACTGAAGTTGAAAATCGAAGCATTATTTCGACTACTTATCGTGTACACAGACACAAATAAAATTAAAAATTAAAAAGGTGGGTAAGTGGATGTCGCTCTGCTGTACAGTAGGTTACAAGTGGGTCACTGTATAATGGATAACCTATATACTAACCTAATACTAAATTTGAATTCAATGATACAATATCATTGTATAAGAAAAACGATTCTGAGCGAAGACGGTATGTCAGTCTAGGTTTAAGACAAATTATATACATATATATGGTATTAAAAAAAAAATTGTCCTATAATAAATTCCAAATTAATCATATCACATTATCACAATATCCATTAGGTACTTATAACACATTATACATCAACATCAATAACACACCCTGATACTATCATAGATATATAATAGTACACTTAAGAAGTTTCAAGTAGGTATACCCACGAACAATATTATATAATCACAACAAAACAACTAGGTTTTTTAATATGTAATTTCGTCCAAATTTGAACATAAAATGACTATAAAAATAAACTGTAATTTTATATTTTTAGATTTTTCAGTAAGAGAATTAACTACTTACGTGGAATCTTGTTTTAAATTTTCAATCCTTAGCTATAAAAACTGAACATTTATAATTTATTAATTACGATGAATAATAATTTTCGAGATTTTGAAAAATTCTGTCAAAATTCGATGTTTAAATGATTATAAAAAAAAATTGTGCATATTTTTTTAAAATTTTTCAACTGATATTGTAACAATAAATCAGGAGCCTTGTATTCAATTTTTACACTTTTTGGCCCAACAGATAAAACTTTATTGATATTCATAGAAAAAAAAACTAAAAAAATTGAAAGTTGAAAATGTCAGTTAACAGCTCAAAAAGAGTCAAACTATTTTCAAAAGTGTATGGTGTATAGGAAATACTAATATAAACATTCAGTGAAATTTTCAAGTGCCTTCAATTATTGGTTTTTGAATTACAACAAAATAAGGAAATCGCCACATGAGAAATCTAGTGAATTTCCAATGTTGTAAAAATTTGAATTTCAAACGGTCATAAAAATTTAATTTGACTTACTTATAGACATTTTTTTATTGATAAATGTAGAAAATCTTATATGGAATCTTGTATTACATTTTAAAATCTTAGATTTAAAAAGAAAAATTTTTACGAATTCTTAACTCAAAATAATTTGCTAATTTTCGTGATTTTTCCATATTTTGTCAATTTTTGAACTTTAAATGCTTGTAAAAAAAAACTGTGACTAAGGATTTTTAATTATTTTCATCTGTATTTGAAACTATATACTATAGGCGACTTCTATTAATATTTCAAGCTTTATTAACCAACAAATAAAATTGTATTGATATTTTTAGAAAAAAAACTAAAAAAAAAAAATGGAAAATGAAAATGTCCCTAAACAGTTTAAAATAAATCAAAATATTTTGAAAATGTTATCGTGTATAGAAAATGCAAATGTAAACAACCAGTGAAAATGTGATGTATCTACAGTCATTTGTTTTAAAGTTACACCAAAAACCAAATTCTATTTTGTTAAAATCGATTTTGCGTAAAAATTCCCGTTTTTCCTTAATTTTTCTGGGAAATTTTCATTTTGTCCTCCCAATGCACCAACGATATTCACTTTCCAATCGAACAAGATACTGAAGTCGAAAATCGAAGCATTATTTCGACTACTTATCGTGTACACAGACACAAAAAAAATAAAAAATAAAAAAACACACATCATTGTAAAATCAATACATTCATCGTTTCACTCAGAATCTAAAATATATAATTATCAAAAATCGTATAAAAAATATAATTGCTAAAATAGTAAATGACCTAGATGAGAATGTGTGTAAAAATCAATTATTAAAAAGTATCTATGTGTAAATACAAACGATTATCTATTAGTATTGTTTAATTAAGTACATAATTATAAGATAATATTATTTAGAGAAGTAAAATACATCATTCTCAATTGTATAAGACACATTTTATTTTATTTTATTATATTATATAAGTAATATGTGTAGGAACTCCGTATACCAGAAACGAGCTTGCTCAGTTGGTATACGTATCAGCTCTTATCACTATTATTGTAGTAATTTAACTTTTGTAATTTTACTATTGTATTATTGTATTGAAATAATGATATTGATATTGTTGAAATAATAAATAAATCGTAATAATTGTTGTACTCTCGAGACTTACTTCATCTTCGTGTTTGGACGATGAAGAGTTCGATGAAATCCTTTGGCGTTTCGATTGCGACGAACTGCTATTAGACTAAAACACAAATACCGAAAATATTTTATTAAAACAAAATAATGTATGCTTACGTAAGCCAACAATACTGCGTGGACGCAGAATACGAAAAAATGTACGATTTAATATTACATAGGAAATATTATTTATTCGAAACGAGAGACTCACGAAAGATATACTAAAATTGTGGTCTGCAGTTGACGATGTAGTGGCAACGTTATGCGAATCGTCCGATAACTCACTTTTCATGGCGGTATTGCGGTAACGGAAAATTCGCACAACATTGCCACCACACTGACAGGAATTCCAGCACAACTATCGTGAGTCCCTCGTTTCTAATAAATAATATAACAAACCGTATATTTGAATGTATCAGACGCCCGATCCTGAGTACTTTAGAACATTTGTTCTAAAAAAAACCAATTCCATCACTCTTTTTATGTTAAATGTAGAAAAACATGCAGTAGAATCTTATATTAAAATTACTATTGCTCCCTATGAAAAGAAAAACTTAAATGAATTTATAACTGAAAAATAATTTGAAAATGTTCGGGATCTTGAAGAGTTTTGTCAAAATTTGAAATTTTGATGTATATTATAAATAACAATGGTGCCTGTGTATCTTTTATATTTTTAACTACTAATAAAAAAACTTATGAGGAACCTAGCATTACATTTTTAAGGTTTTCTACCAAGTAAAAAAGTTTTTATCGGCAGTAAATTAAAAATCAAAAATGGATTAATGTGATTAACATTTGAGGTCATATATTATAACAACCGTATACGGTAAAAACTAATAATCGGTATAAAGTTAAACGTTAAGAATTAATAGAGAATCATAGTACCTACCTAATATAATATGTACGTTTTCTACAAGAAGACTTTAATTTGTCGTCTCTTTTTCGCTGTGCGTATGGCTACGTATTTTAAACGTTAATTTATTTAATCTAAACAATGATATAACTGAGTGGGTCAATTAAATATTCATAAGGCAATTTTGATTATGGTTTTTTTTTATGAAGAAACAAAATCTAAATAGTCGGAACCGCTTTAGAACACATATATATATATATATATTACTATATTTTATATCTTTTTCTATTCATTGAATTATCATTAACAAATAACCATTAATTAATAAAGGTTCTTAGTACAATAATCATTGTTTTATATATTATTTAAAAATTAATTATTAAAAAGCTGGTAAGTGAATGTCGATTTACTGTGCAGTAGGTTACAAGTTGTAATGCGTTGTACAGTGCATGGTCAGTGTATAATGGATTGTATTAAATTTGAATTTAATGATATCATATCATTGTATATGAAAAATGATTCTGAGCGGAGACTGTTTGTCAGTCTGGATATTTTATATTGTTATTATATTTTATCATAGCCTGTAAATTGAATTAATGTTATAAACTACAACAAAATAACTGAAATCATTATTTTTTATTTTTATATTTATTCGTTTCTATGGTGATAATCAAAGCGTTAAAAATTAAAATCCCATTTTTAGTAGTTTTTTGTAATTTGAAGATGATTTTTCCAGTGTTTTAAATAAATATTGAGAAAATCGAAAAATGACCTCTCTAAAGTTCCGATTTGCTAAAAGATAAGATGATAAAACTTAAAACTCTATGTTGAAATCGAAGGAGTCCTTCTAGTAGAAATTTTGTTTACCTACCTACAAGATAAAAAAAAAAATAAACACCATTGTAGAACCACTAGATGCTTCGCTCCACTCAGAATCTAAAAGAAAATAGAAAGAGTTAAAATCATGCAGCATTAACCTAACCTAAATCGAAATTTCATTTCTTTAAACACCGAAACTAAAATTGCATATTTTCGAGTACTGAAACCCAAACTCTAAATGATAAAATCATGAACGTTCAGACAATCAGACTTCAGGGACTGGTACGAAATGTTGAAAGCGAACAAAGTGGGTATATAATAAATATATATATGTGGATTCGAATAATTATTTATTACGGAAGTTAATTTATATAATATTATTTAAGTCGAGAACGGCGGGAGTAAAGAAAAGTTACTGCTAAACATTTATTTATATTTTCCGGTTCATACTTCTCTTCCTATATATATATATCTAGTTATTGATATATTAGCCATTTTTATATTGAAATATCAGATTTGGGTAGTATTCCGAATACAGTATTCTGAGTATAGTATTCGGAATACTTTTTTTCTTATACAAGTATACTCATATACCTATATTAATAATAATTACTTATTAATTATATTAATTTGTATATAATTTATAACTAATAGATAGCCAGATAGATGTGTATTATCAAGATCATAATAATGTTCATTTATAAACACAGAATTGAAAAAATAAAATTTTTGATATTAAAATCTAAATCTACTGAAAAAAAAGTATTCGAAAAATATTTGGAATACTTTTTGTGAATTATTCCAAATACTTAGAAATATTATTATCGCATTAAGTATTCGAATACATATTCTGAATACTTTTTTTTAAGTATTTAGAATATGTATTTGAAACACTTTTAAAAAGTATTTTACCATAGTCTTTGGATTATCGAGAATGGATTGCAATGGATTTACTTCCCACTGTTTCTGGGGCATCTTATCCTGATTCGGTGCTAGTACCGGTTTTGGTTCAGAGGTACATTGCTTTTGTTGGATATTTTCTGATGTAGAAGACTTGTCGTTTTCCGATGTGTTCTCATCCGGTATATCTTTAGACGATGTCTACATTTAGGAAAAAAAATAAAAAAACAATAAAGTTATTAGAAAAATATTACAGCCATATCTCAACTTGGATTTCATTAAAATCAACTCGTTATTTATTATGTTTAAGTCGAGAAAAATTAGTTAAGCTAAAAATGAAGTCATTAAAAATTAAATTTTAAAAAGTTAAGTTAAAAAAGGTGGGTAAGTGGATGTCGCTCTGCTGTACAGTAGGTTACAAGTGGGTCACTGTATAATGGATGCTATTAAATTTGAATTCAATGATTCAATATCATTGTATAAGAAAAACGATTCTGAGCGAAGACGGTATATCAGTCTAGGTTTAAGACAAATTATATACATATCTATAGTATTAAAAAAAAAATTGACCTAAAATTAATTCCAAATTAATCATATCACAATATCCATTAGGTACTTATAACACGTTATACACCAACAACAAACCCTGATACTATCATATATATATAATAGTACACTTTAGAAGTTTCAAGTAGGTACCCACGAATAATATTATATAATCACAACAAAATAACTAGGTTTTTTAATATGTAATTTCGTCCAAATTTGAACATAAAATGACTATAAAAGTAAACTGTGATTGTATATTTTTTAGATTTTTCGGTAAGAGAATTAACTACTTACGTGGAATCTTGTTTTAAATTTTCAATCCTTAGCTATAAAAACTGAACATTTTATAATTTATTAATTACGATGATTAATAATTTTCGAGATTTTGAAAAATTCTATCAAAATTCGATGTTAAAATGCTTATAAAAAAAAATTGTGCCTATGTATTTTTAATATTTTTCAACTGATATTGTAACAATATATCAGGAGCCTTGTATTAAATTTTTACACTTTTTGGCCCAACAGATAAAACTTAATTGATATTTATAGAAAAAAAAAACTAAAAAAATTGAAAACTGAAAATGTCCGTAAACGGCTCAAAAAGTGTCAAAATATTTTCAAAATTGTAGGGTGTATAGGAAATGCTAATATAAACATTCAGTGAAATTTTCATGTATCTACAGTAATTCGTTTTTTAATTACAACAAAAAAAGGAAATTGCCACATGAGAAATCGAGTGAATATCCAATGTTGTAAAAAATTTGAATTTCAAACGCTCATAAAAATTTAATTTGACTTTCCGGTAGAAATTTTTTTATTGATAAAGGTAGACAATCTTATGAGTAATCCTGTATTAGATTTTCAAATCTTAGATTTTAAAAGAAAAATTTTTACGAATTCTTAACTCAAAATAATTTGCTAATTTTCGTGATTTTTCCATATTTTGTCAATTTTTGAACTTTAAATGCTTATAAAAAAAAATTGTGACTAAGGATTTTTAATATTTTTCATCTGCCTTTGAAACAACATATTAGGAGCCTTTTATTAAATTTTCAAGCTTTCGCAACCAACAAATAAAATTTTATTGAAATTTTTAGAAAAAAAACTAAAAAAAAATGGAAAATGAAAATGTCCCTAAACAGTTCAAAATAAATCAAAATATTTTGAAAATGTTATCGTGTATAGAAAATGCAAATATAAACAACCAGTGAAAATTTCATGTATATACGTTCATTTGTTTTAGAGTTACACCAATAACCAAAATCGATTTTTTGGAAAATCAATTTTGCGTAAAAATTCCCGTTTTTCCTTAATTTTTATGTTGTTTTTCCCGGCGCTTGTGAAAACTACTGGGAAATTTAAATTTTGACCTCCCCAATGCACCAACGATATTCACTTTCCAATCGAACAAGATACTGAAGTCGAAAATCGAAGCATTATTTCGACTACTTATCGTGTACACAGATACAAAAAAAATAAAAAAATAAAAAAATAAAAAAATAAAAAAACACACATCATTGTAAAATCAATACATTCATCGTTTCACTCAGAATCTAAAATTAAAATTTAGATAAATTTAACTTTTAACTCGTTAATGCCCATCCTCGGTTATCAGACCAAAACACACACATACCGGTGATATAGTAAAATAAATGTTTACGTACTTAAGCAGAATCGGGTGCCGAATACGTACAAATATAAGGTTTATTATATATTATTTATTAGAAACGAGAGTCTCGGATGTTAAATTATCACAATTTTCATTGATTAATTATTTAACTAATTAATAAAAATATCGAAAATCAGGCCTCTTACAATTGTTAAAAAAGTTCTTCTTTACAATTTTTGAAATAGGTAGTTTTGCCGTACACCATATTAATAAGCCTGCATATTACTTGAATAATTATCGAACTATTTAGTATGATAAAAAAAATGAGATACTCAAAAAACCATTTATAACAGAAAGCATTCAATGTAGACAATCTGAGCCACAACCAGGTAAGTCGTACATTTGTATTGAATATAGTGAACCTAATAAAATTACAGATGGAATTTAGTGGGTAGCAACAGGTACTAGTACTATGTTACCCAATAAGAAAAATCCCATATCAATAGCTGAACATTTTAGTTGTGAAAATATTTACAAAAGTGTATTTAAATTAATAAAAAATAATAAATAAAACGCTTCATTGGTGAAGTAAATGAATAACCTACTAAAACTGGACTCGCCAAACGGTAAAATTGAAAAGTGCAAATCGATGTGATCACGAGTTTCCAAAAAAAAAAAAACTATCAAAAACATATGAAAAGATGTTTTGAGAAAAGGAATAAAAAAGAAAGCATAGGTAACACAAAATAATGAAAATTTGTAAATTTAAAAAAAATAGTCTTAGTATTTACATAAATAAAATAAAATTACTTACCTATATTATGTTCTATGTTCATAAACAGTTTTAGAGAGAATAATAAGATAAAACAAGGAAAATTAATATTAATTGTATTTATTTCATTTATCATTTATTAGATTTTACTATTTTAGTTTTACTATAAGTATTATATTTGAATAAATAATATTTTAATAAATACAAATCAAGCTATGTTGAAAATTGTAATACAGTTTCTACCATCTATATATTCGGATATAAATTTAAGTAAGCAGTATCTTAAATTATAATGGGTAGTTCATAGCAGTGCTCGAATTGGAAAAAATTAAGTAGAGGAGCTCAATCCAACGATTTAAAAACTGCGTTCCATGAGCTCAATTACTCACATTACAAATTATTGTTTTTGATTCAAAAGAGACCACATATTTTGATAAGTATAAAAAAATTTAAAAATTCAAAAATACCGATAAATGATAACCATAACTGAAACTGATAATATTTCATTCGGAACACGATTTAAGATATTACTATCACACACCAGTATGGCAGTATATATACTATATCTATCAAATATTATAAATAATAAATTATTAAGTTTGGTTTTAAAAAAAAAAACCGAATCTCTACAAACGAAAAAAATTAGATTACAAACAAATATAAACCGGCTGCAAACATATTGTAAAAAAAAAAATCAAAATTCCAAATTGTGGGAGGGGAGCTGAGAAAATGGACCTCTTATAAATAACAAACCCTAGCTGGTCCAATCATTTTTATGAAAGATACTGTTGTTAACTATTGGTTATATAAGAAATTTACACCTACTTAAAAACCGTAAATGACTGGCTAATGTTTATGCTTATAGGTAAAAATGGCCGGGTAAACGTAGACGTCTAGTTTTTAGGCATTTATTTATTACAGCGTGTGTACCTACCTACTATACTCTGTACCAAATAAGAGCGCACCGAGTTGGCGCATCCAAATGAATCGCGGAGTGACGTCCGGACCCCCTGGCTGGGTCTATTCGCTCTGTCATTGGTCGCCCTTAGGGCCGACCCCTATTCGCCGCCGACACTCTACCCTGCCGCCGCTGCCACACGCTGCGGGCGGTAGAGATCTCTGTCATGCGCGAGTTTCGACCGGTTAACGCCCGGTGAGCTCTTGTTTGGTACAGAGTATAGGTTCATCATATGAAAATAGGATGACAATACTACAATAGGTATGGCGTACGCATAATGTATATTTTTTAATTAAATTTAGAAATACCTCTTTGTTATGTTTCTCATTCAATAGCTTCAAAGAATTAACAAATTTTGATCGATGATCTATAATTGGTATTAACTCAGCAACCATATTTTCAGTTAAAGTGAGAAAAACTGTAAAATCAATTTCTGCTTCTAAAAACAATTAAATAGGTAGTTGAAAAGATAAATATGTAGGTAGGTACATCTAATATTGTATTATTATGTCAAAACAAAATAAAGTTCAAATAAGTTTTCTATGCATTCTGCACAGTAATATCATAAAAGTAGGTACCAACCTTTAAAACGTACAACATACTGTTCAAATCCCCATTCTTTAAGTGTTGATTCGGTGAGTTGATCCATATTTGTTATAATATAGTAAGACTAGTGAAACATATTATTATGGTTAACTGTTGAGGCAAAATATTATTGAAATAATTCATTGTAGGTATATAAAATAGTCTTACCTAAAGGCCCAACTGCCCAAGGTATACTCGTATAATCGTCTCGGTGCTATAGGTATTGTATATGCCTGGATCTTGGTGAACTGAAAAAATTAAAGCTTTAATGATAATAAGTAGTAGACAATCGAAATATTGTATCTCGATAATTTTAATGCAAAATTAAAATACCAATGTTACCTACCATCTTGAATTATCTAATGATGTGGAATGTGCCCTATAGCAGCGTTAGTGTACAACATACCTAACCTCAAATGTTTGGTTTGTACAAAATATTGATTATTTTAATCACTACAAGTTTTTAGTTACCTATATGTGGTATACATTATTTTCACAGAATTAATTAGTTAACATTTGAAATTATTTCAGTTAAAAAATATAGTTGAATTATAAATAGTGTTAACTAAATTTGTAATTAAACTAACAAATATTTTACCTAAACTAATATTACTTTTGTTTAGCAAGTAGTTTACTCATTAATTTAATTATTTATGTACCTACTACTTATTTGAATATACGTATACAGTTATTAAATTTACAAATATAGTTATTACACTTTATTTTAATGAACTAAAATATTATAGAACATCAATATGATATAATTGAATATTGAATACAAGATTCCTAATAAGTATTTTCTAGTGTAATTCGTCACCGTGAAATCACACCATGATTTACGCATGTGCATGCTATGTGCGAGCACAGGTCGTTGGAAATTTTTCTCCAAAAATGGTTATTATGGTAATCCTCTTATCGTTTGAAAATACTATTGCTGAACTTGCAAAAAAAAACAGGAAAAAAATACGTAACTATTTCATTTAAAGTTCAAACCACCACTTAACCGCTCGGAACTATTAGGAATTCTCACTTTACCACCCGCTGAACGGAAAAAGGACGCTTTCCGATTTCCGACGCTTTAACCGCTATCAAAGACCAAACTTTATATGCAGGCGATAACAGAATCGCACACGTATACGATATTATATAAGAAAAAAAACTTACATAATATTATTAGGTATAACAATCTGTGAGTGTGCGTTGTGGTGTATGTACTCACTGTACAGATTTCAATCAGACCTTTCGTGCGGTCAGAGTTACTAGCCGTTTTGTGATAAACTGGTCCGATTCCGATGCATATAATAAAATTTACCGTTGTCAGGATAAGGTGTGAGCGTTGCTTTCAACGGCGTCTCATGACGTGATAAATGATGATTCTGTAAACGAATACGCAATGTAATATTATTGTCATCGTTTGCAGCTGAAAAGATTTATGAGTTTATGACCATTGGACGGTGCGTGATCGAAATTCGGTATCAAGTGGGGGAATTACTGTTTTTTATTTGTTTTCGTAGTATTGTAGTCATACATACTACTGAGTCATACACTCAGAAGTGCATAATATTATAATATATTTGCGTAGGCACGTATATAAGTTTTTGCTTGTGTATGTGTGCAAAATATGTTGATTAACACGTTGGGTAATTCGTATTACGTGAAGCGCGTTGCGAAATTATTGGTTTCGCGATTACCTGAGAATGTCGACTACGTATTTTCGATGTCCTGCTCGTAGAGTTGTAGCTTGACACGTCACTCTGTATAATACAACTCTGTGGTTTGTACGCTCAATACATTTTTCATAATTTGTAGTACATCACAACTATATTATTATTATTTTAAATAAATAATAAAATTATGAAAACAAAATAATACTATTATACTATGTTATACCTAATCTCGTACCGTCATCAACAATTTTATAAGTAAACAAGTAAATAATACCTGTAAATTCATTTTTTTTTTTAAGTTATACTTCTTTACGCACGGTAGTGAGGAAAAAAAAGCGAACGGGCGGCGTGTACGAACGGGCGGCGCGTACGAACGGGCGGCCGTACGAACGCGAAAGCGTACATGTCCGTAAATAAATAAATATTGTCATATGGTAATGTTGTTTTATTATATATTATAATATATATATATATATATATCTGTATATATAAAACAGTAAGCTGATTGACTGCTATCAACGCACAGCTCAAACCATTGGACGGATCTGGCTGAAATTTGGCATACAGATAGCTATTATGATGTAGACGTGCGCTAAGAAAGAATTTTTCGAAATTCGCATTTTAAATAGGTGCTCAAACAGGGACATTGAGATTCAAGATGGAAATTGGAAATTTTATTTTTATTTATTAATAGTTGCCATTGGTTACAGTCTACATTAGAAATTAGCATTTATTTATTGGTTGCCATTGGTTATTCGAGCAGATCAGGTACAAGCTTGCATCAAATCAATTTATTGTACATTGCTTACCAGGGTGGCTGAGTTGCACTTACCCCAGCAAGTTACACCCAAAAGGAGTTCAACAATCATAATTTTTTTAAGAGTTGTAATTTTTTACTAGCAACCAAATTTTTTTTTAATATTTTTTATTTTTATTATTATTATTAGTATTCACTCACAAATCTATTGTCTGGATAAAAACAATACTACAAACAATTATCCATCGATCTGTCGAATAAAAATATAAAAAAAATAATAAAACTATCAATAATAAATAATTCCGGATACTTCTTCTCATTTTTTAAATTAATTAATATTTTTTCTTTCTTTTTCACTCACTCACGTGTACCATTCAAAAGAAGTTTAACTTCCCGCGCGCGTACTGGTAACACACATGTTTTTTTAAACTGAACCTAAAAATAAGTTGTCTCGAACAATCAATGCTAGTGGCATTTATCCCAAAAAATATACGAACATATTACATATTATATTATTATAATGACGTACAAGACATTTTCCGATCAAACAATAATCCACGTAATAATATAGAAAATAATAATACAAATAAGAAAAGGCCAAATTTTAACGGAAACAAAATTATAATCAAACACATTCTAAAATTCTAGTGACAATGACTTTAAAGTGATGTCGAGTGTCATACGTACAACTGTGAAGGAAACTCTGCATCTCAGTAATCGGTAAAAAAAACAACATTGAAAAAAATGACACTGAAAAAATGACAAAATCATAATTTTAAATGTAAACAAGAACAACGCTCTTAGGTGTAACTAATTTCAGCATATTTATATACCATTGCAGACCCCTCGAGGCGAGTACGTAATTTCTAATATTTTATTAACACGTTGTTATTATGATGTGCATTTGTAGGTTCACGGGACAACGGTCGAAAAATTAGCTTTGGGAATACTAAATTATAAAGTTTTGACCACTGACTAAGATATAATGGACTGGAAACGACATGGTCGGAAGGTTGGAAAGGGTTGAGGAAGGGCCAAAAAAAGGTTACTCTTACTCACACTGGGAAAGTGGGGACCCAATGTTTTCAGCGCTACCGGTGGTTTTATTTGACTTCACATTTTGTATCTTAGTCCGTGTAGGCGTTGTAAGCTTTGGGTCTCCATTGTGACCCCCCCACCACGAACTTGCCTTCTTGTACACAAGAGTGGGGGGAAGGGACATTCGCCATCACCATAAAAATTTTTAATGTATAAAATTACTCTCATTGTCAATAAAATAATAATGATCAACATTTTAATTTACCGTTATGAAACAATACTTTGTTACGTAAACTTATTTCTTATGTAGTCGCATTAAAAAATATAATATAGTCAGTAAAAATGACTTAAGTTCGCAAAAACTATTGAAAAATACGCATAGGGTAATTATTGATTTCAAAAATAGATTCCCCCTCCCTAGAAAACTGTCTAGGGACGCCCCTGCTTGTTCATACATTCGTGGCCACTGACAAGCTGCTCGTTTCCAGTCCATTATATCTTAGTTCATAGTTTGATCAAATATAATATATAAGTACCAACAAACTACAAGTCTAAAACGATATTCAATCATAACCAATATGGCACAACCTTACAATAAACAAAATAAACTGTATTATGATGCTGGTAATATACTGTTGTGCGGCGAAAATTGGGCGCTGCGACAATTAAGCGCTGAGACATATGATCGCTTTATAATATTATACTGAACTGAGTAAAAGTTCATAAAAGTTCACTGTATTAAGTGCAAAACTGCTGTATACGAAATGACGAAATTAAAATTGAATTCGTTCGCAGTGTCTGTGAATACCTATATAACCCGTCACATAATCTTTATGTTTGATGATAACTATTAATCAGATAATGTTATTACTTATTTGCCGCATCGTTCGTTATCGTATGGAAATAGAATAAAATTCCAACGACGATAACGCAGCAGTAGACGTAGGTTCTTTACTATATTTTCACACGTTGTGCACTGAACACTACTCAATTTATTGTACTTAACATTTTAATTTTTTTAAATCATAATTTTAATAATAAAATGGAAATCATTAAAAGTGAAAAAGGTCGAGATCTTCTATGCTATAACGGATATTTATATAGATTTGACAAAAACAGTAGTTGGCGATGTATCGAATGCAATACGAAAAAATGTCGTGGTCGTATTAATTTGAAGGATGGTCAAATTATTCATGAAAGTGAAAAAGAGCACAACCATACACCTGATATTGCAAAAATTGAAGCCAGAAAAGCAATGCAATTTTTAAAAACAATAGCAAAACATACTGAACTTAGTACTCAAGCAGTTTTAGGTGCAGTATCTTTACAGGTAAATATAATATAAATATAATATTAATAGTTATGAGATCATTAATTATATTACTGTATAATATATATAAAATATGTATATTATATATTTATGTTTTATCATTATTATTATTTTTTTTGTTTTTGTAAATATGTTTTAAAATTATTTTTATTTATATGCAAAAATAACTTTCAACTAAATTAAATCGTTAGTCGATTTGTATCGACTTGTTATAATTATTACTTTCATGTTTTAGAAATAAAAAAAAATTAAAATATTTTATTTTTTAAATCATTATTATTATTGTAGGTTACTGAAGCGTGTAGTGATCCCTCACTAACGCTTATATTTGAGTGACCGACCACCGACGTCTGTAGTTGGACCAGGTTGATCAAAAGAAATAAGGTTTTTCGAAGAGAGACAAAGGCGCAATGTTAAATGAAGTATTTATTATGATTGAGTTAAGCTTGTTATAAAATAAAATAAAATAATTGTTACAAAATGTTATAAAAATTTGTGGACAGCACGTTAAGTAACTGCCCGAGAACTAGTTAAATCTACTTGTAGTTACTGGGAATGTACTTAGTCTGGCGGCGATGTAGAGTGCGCGGACTCTACGACCAGGTAAGTACTACATGTAGGGATGTGAGACTAATTCTGATTCTAAGGTGTACAGAGACTCATATTTATATGGTTCTCTGTACTCCCTGTTATACACGGTAGAGACTAGGAGGTGGACAAAAAGGCGAGTCGGCAGCTTGTTGTTATTGTAGCTGCCAAAAAGTAGTTTGTGACCAAAAGGTAATAAAAAATTGCAATATCATTTTAACTGGTTCTTCTCACGTCTTTGATTCTTGGAACTCGTAAAACGCAATAGTATCTGTGTAGACCATGTGCCTTGCATTGATAGTTCCGAGAATCCGAAATAACATATTAAAAGTGTGAAGGCCGTGGCTTTAATGTAATAAAGTAAAAAAAAATAGTGAATCGACTCCGTCGGTTTACTACAAGCGGTTGCTGGTCAATTACCAGCAGTTGAATACTTGAATCCATACGCTATATAACATCATGCTACGGCCAATTAATAGAAGTGCTCAAACAGGGATTTTGAGATTTACGATGCAGGAAATATTTGTTTATAAGTGGTTGCTTTATTGGTGATAGAAGAAATAATTAATAGAAATAGTATTTATTTATTATTGGTTGCTATTGCAGGTCAATTGGGCAGATCAGGTACAAGAATGCATCAAATTGAATTTTCGCACATAGCCTACCAGGGTGACTGAGTTGGTGTCGGATTACGTGTTCGAAAATGATATGTTCTTTATTTTATTTAGCACCACATTTTTTGACACAGATCCAATAGTACACATTTTCATTATCCCGTTTACGAAAATTATTTTTATTAAACATAAATTCATACTCATTAACTAATAAAGTAATAGCATATGTTTATTATGTATTGTAGATATTAATTTTATAGTACACGTCGACATATTAGTTCCCCACATAGCATTTTGGTGATGATTATATTTACAAAATATTTTTTAATCGTCTTGACAAAAATATTTCTTGGTAAATATTTTAAAAATATAATTATAATATATATCGTATAATATGTTAAGTCAATTATTTCTTAAATATTTTAAAAACTTTTTCTTTGAAATATTTTATGATTATCATACTGTATATAACTATAAAATAACATTTTTATATTATTGAAAAATATTTCCTATCAGTTAATTTTAAAATATTTTAAAAATAACTGAGAGTTATGATAATAAAAAATGATTAGGGAAATATTTCAAAGAATAATGGGCCCCACCGAGCAGTGGTGTATTTATGGTTTCTTATATGCGTACCTTTATTATTTTATAATTATTGTAACCCTTCTCGGTTCCTCGGTTCTTATTTGTCATGCGCGTTCTCTCGCCAGACAGAGTATAGTTCGTATTATAGCAATATTATTATATTGTGTATTTGTGTTGAATATATAATATTATATTACATAATTAATAATAATTTATTGTAGGTGCATGGAATGATGATATTTCTATTTTATATGACGTTAGCCGTTACTGGCCCGTTAGGTATCAATAATATAATAAATTATCATTTATCATTAATCATTATGTAATAATATTCTACTATAATAATAGTAAGTTACTATTATTATAAGTCGTTGTATCGTTCTGTGATTGTGATAATACCTATCATGGCTAAATATATATTATTTACATAATAATATATACCCATATACGCATTAAGTACGCATCGATATGGATGGGTAATCCCGGTGCCGCCGTCGTCGTCCGTTGCCCGCCGCCCATAACGGTATACGATTACTCCATAGTCCCATATTCCCCGGACAATCAGACACCACCACGGACTATAAGATATCTTAGTCCGTGGACACCACCAAAAATTTACTTTATCATCAGCATTCGCAGACTCGCAGTATATTATTTTATCATAATAGATCTATGCCCAAGTCAGTATACTGACGCTATAGCGTTCTCTCTGTAGCATAATATTTTTATTAGATTAGTAGGTAGATGGTCCGATATTGGCGTGTCAGCTATAAAACATATTAACACAGACTAAAATCACCTAAGACGAGACCAGAGTACCAGACTATAACTCATTTACTCATGCCACTATTGCCACTGAGAGAGCGCTACTCGTTGGCGGCTTGGCGCATCCAAAATTATTCCAAATGACCTAGCGTTTTCGTACCCATATTTCTCCCACTCTACCACCTAGTCGCCACGACGGTGTAGCAACGGCGGCTGGAGTCGACGGCGGCCAGAGTACGGGCAGATTTAGTGGTAGGAATGCGCGAGATCGGACGAATTTTGGTCGCCTTTGAGTAGCGCTCTCTCAGTGGCACCATAGAAATATAGAATAAAGATAATGAGTGGCACGAGGGCACGACTGCACGAGTATAAACTATAAGATGTCACGTGTCAATGTACATTTTTAATTTTTAACCCATCCTGCTTTCACCGTTGTCCGTTTCAGACGTTTCAGTATTTCAAAATTTCACATTTAGAACTGCTGCAGATTAATAATACAAATAATTGCAATCGGACTAATTACAGCAGGTATGTAAACGTTCTTTTTAGTTTATTTAGTATTTTTGTTATTACGTCTCTACGACGTTGGATGAGAAAGGATGAACATTTTACTCGTTATAAAATAATACTCAAGACTTTAACATTATGCATCTTTTAATTATACATCATAGTTCAGAAATAAATGTATGACTTATTTACTATTAGATATTATTAAAAATAGAATGATATTTCTATCGTAATACATTATAACGATGCTTCAGTTCAAAACTGCAACAACTCATGTTATAGCAAATCCGAGTTATGTACACCATCTTATAACGATTTAGGTTCTAGAACGCAATAAAATATATAGGTAGTTATAATTATATTGGCTACAAGAGAGCATTTTCAATTTCATAATTTACATTACGTTACATATTAGCGCTACAATATAGAAAACACATTAGGTGGGTAAACCCAATAAACTGATTTTTTTTAGTTGTTGCAATTTTGAACTGGAGCATCGGATTATTATTAATATCAACACAAGTCAGTAGTCACATTACAGCTATAACATGCATTACTGCAGCAGTGCAGCCATGATATAACAACAAGCTGGGCTTAAAATTCTAAAGGGGACTAATGTCTCCATATAGTTTTAAGAGTTCCATATTTAATTTTATGTATAGGTAATGCCTAAGGTTAATTTATCATACCACATTGTTTATACCATGACTTCAACTATAGTACACCTAGGTTATAATATAGTAGGTAGATATATTTAATTGTTATATTTTATATAAGTTATTATATAGCCATTATATACCTATATAATAAGGATAAGTATTAAAGTATATTAAATAGTCAACTAGCTGACATATTTTTTATCCCATATTTATCTATTATGTCAGATTCCTACTACCCATAGGTACCTATTATTACTTTAGTTATTATACTATTATTAATATTTACTTATTAATTACCTATATATAATACTATTATTACTGTATAATAGCTAATAATAATTAATAATATTTTTTTTTACTATTATTACCTACCTGCTATAATATAGGTTAGGTTGTTATAGATTATACCTGATGATTTGATTTAACATCCAATTAAAATATATTTGTATTGGTATAACCGTTAAATTTAATAAATTGTTGATGTGACACAGCATAAACCTTTTAAATAGAATAAATTTCATATCAAAATTCAAACTGATCAGAATTATTATATTAATTAATAAACAAAGTGATGATGACTAAATATAATTATACTACCTAATTTCATGATTAAAAATTGTACAGTAAAAAAAAAAATTCTGAGGGGTGATAATATGATATAAACCCTTAACTATATGTAAGCCAGTAATACTTAGGTATTTGTTTTATTCTGATTTTTACTAAAAAAAAATAGATGATTATATTGAAATTATTAAAATGACAAGTGAAAGAACAAAAAGGAGGAGAGTTAAAGAAGAACTAGAATCTGTATTTGACATTGATATTAATGATTATAATTTGCCAAAGGAAAACGAGTATAAATTGAAAGCAGAATCTGATGGTGATAATGTTATTTGTAATAAACCCTTGCATGAATATTTCCGTAGTCCAATATTAACTACTGCAGATTACTTGACTGATAATAATTGTTTCAGTTCTGAACTGTTATTTCCAAAGGTAATAGTTCTTCTATATTCTTTATTATTATTTTGTTTTTAATTTCTTATTATTATACAATCTCATTTTTAGTTTTCTGAAAACAATGAATATGAATTACCAACTAATGAACCAATTAATATATGTGATGAGTTTAAAGGTGATTTAGTTATGTGGGCAACACAATTTAATATACCTCATAATGCTTTGGATGGGTTATTGATAATTTTGAAAAAAGTTCCAACATAGTTATGATAGTCATCACTTCCGAAAGATTCTCGTACTATATTAGAAACAAGAAAAACTAATGCTACACATG